ATTACTAACAAAAATTCAACAAAAAAAACAATCAATAAAAACTGTATAAATATAAGCTGATTATATACAGTATTGTATTTTTTATTAAAAAAAATATATATAATACTATTTCTATTATACTATATTATTTTATCTGTTATAACAAAAATATATTATTTTTTATAGTTTATAATTATTTTAACAGATAATATTAAAAAAAATTATATATCATATAATATAATTTTTTTAATTTCTTAATTATATTGTCGACCAGATGTCGACAGTATTACACACTCATACAGACAGACACATCGCACATATAGACATCACATCCCTTTCCACCCTTTAGTAACGTTTTGTCCCTCAACCGAATCACTACATGTAATCGTTATTATAATCTCTTAATCAAACCATCTTTTCATCTAATTGTCGGTCTCTTGGCTGACATTATTGGCGCAGTCGGCAGGATGACGCATTATTGTAGTTGATTTTATCGACAAAACCGTGAATCGTCGAAAATGCCGTACAGATACAGTACGAGGTGCCCAACACGTGCTGAGCGCATACGGGCCTCACTTCGTAACAAACGTGTCAACCGCAACGTTATTAATACGACAAACACCGAAGACAACGCGGACGAAGACGTAAGCGGCCACCACAATGAGACCGTCGCCGCACGGGTCTCACGGTTTCGCACAACCGACGGTCCAGTTTTACCGCACAATTTGGTCGCTCGTAATAACGTAATGACACTCAACAGCTTACCACCCACGGCATCGATTCCTTATGCGGCCAAAGACTCATCAAAGGAGTGGCACCGCATATTCACGTTACTCACCATCGGAGCCATCGAAAAGGAGCGTCTCATCGCTTCGGCTCTGCATTACCACACTGACGGCGATGCCGGTCAATCAACGAACACTATCAACGAAAGCTCGTCAACGGACAGCTCTAAGAACAAAGACATCACGATTCGCGTTCAAATCGTATCACAAATCGATTCACACATCGATAAGGATATCGCTATCACTGAAGACTTACAAGCGATTCAGTCGACACCATTAACCGAAACATATCGTCCTATTGTGACACCGACTGTCCTTGACATCCATCGGGCGACAGACACTATCACTAATGGACGAGAAATCGCCGACACCACCTCACCAGACGTAGACAACGATGTAAACGTCGTAACAACTCACGATTTGCTCTCACCATCGCTATATACGACAAGAAATCGTTCAATACAGACGACGCATCTGAAAGCGTCACATCATTCACGTGTGACTTCCGATAGTAGACGTAACGGCATGTCGTTCACGTCATCAAATCGTGTCACATATCGCCATCAATCAAAATAACAACACCGAAGCCATCGCGTTATGAACCGATTCTCAACGCCGCCCATCAATCCATCAGCGGATGGATTCGTTTCTTGCGTTCATAGACCGTCCATTTGGCCGTACAAGTTGGCTAACTTTCACCCGGTTCGTCTGCGCCGCATAGACGCTGGTCTTCGCGGTCGGGGAATTGTCGACCAGATGTCGACAGTATTACACACTCATACAGACAGACACATCGCACATATAGACATCACATCCCTTTCCACCCTTTAGTAACGTTTTGTCCCTCAACCGAATCACTACATGTAATCGTTATTATAATCTCTTAATCAAACCATCTTTTCATCTAATTGTCGGTCTCTTGGCTGACAATATGACGTATAATAATTCCATAGTTGTGTGAAAACTATTGTACTAAACATTACAATATTTTTGTTGTCATTAGTTTATAATATTATATTATATAATTAATATATATTAATAATATACTGTATATTCATCAATATTAGAGAGGCTTAGAAAAAAATAGTTAAATTGGTTATTAATAATACTAAAGAGATATTTCAATGTTTGTATTATATATATATAAAAAATAGTTTACTTTACACTCCAATAATCACAGGTATTGTATTGTTTGGCGAATGCATCTAATGTATCAATTAATTGCTTATATATATATATATATATATCGGGTATAATTGTCCCGTAAATCCGGGTAATCGATCGGCCAATCGATCCATACGTAAGGCCATTGTCAAACATTGCGGTAAACACTGGAACCGATTCCTTCAAATCAAATCGGCTATACTTAATGGTAACCGAAATGTTTGTTTTTTCATCGCTGTTGTACTGTTGATCAAACAGTCTGTTGTCATATTAATATCACATTCAATTGGTTATCAAATGTGTGGATAACCGTTAGGTTATTATCGTATATATATAAATATATATATATCGGCTAATAAGCAATCATCAAATATTATATATATATATATTACCGGTCACTTAATAATACATGTATATTGCAATATAGTTTTAATATTTTTTTTTTGTTGAATAATCAAATCAAATGTAATGTAAATACGGCTAAACCTAACCACATGCCCAACAGTCCGCCTAAATCTGATAGAAACTCAATTCGGGTCATTTCGGGGGCTGTGCTCAATCAAACTGATCCATAAATGTGCTGAATGTTGGATAGTAGGCGCTTATCGTTTTCAGTTATCCCATCGATTAGTTTTTATTTAGCTATAAACTGGTGTCATAATATATATCGACTATCATAGCATAAATGGCAGGGACACAGTTCATCGCAACTATAGCCGAAACGGTAGCTCACATGACTCGGGAGCCATAGTCGACATATTTTTTGGTCAGCACATAATCAATTGGCTAATTAGACCGACATCCCATGGCATACATTGATTTCAATCAACAATATGTCGTTGAAAGCATCGGTAGCGACACTCGGATCGGGTTCGCGACGGCGGCGGCGGCTTTTGATTACCACAACAACCGGTGCCGCTATAATAATCATAAATATTATACTCTCCCGACACTTAGGTATCCCAATTGGACGGCCAACCGTATGGTCTTTATTGTTGAATAACCGATCCAATAGTTGATCCAAATATGTAACGAAAATATATTATATATCGTACGGTGTGTTGTGGCCGACCATAAAAACTATTGAATCCAAATGTGTTTTATATTGTCGATAGTCGGAAGTTAAGTTCGGTAAATAAATGTTTGACAACTGTTTGATCAGTACAACACCAACACCAACGACAACAATAACCAAAGGTATGAAAAAATAATTATCTTTTTTTATAACTACTGTTTGGTTAAACACTGTGTTTGGACAGTCGTTTGCATCCATTTTACACTTAAATAAAAAACTTTTGCATCGATTGTTGTTTTGTTGAACACTTTTATCAGACATTATTTTATTTTTTATTTTATTTTTAAATAAGCAACAAAAATAAAATCAATGAATTACTTATTGACAATTTATATATTGCTATTAAAATGTTTGTTATAATACTACTTAAATTATAAATATATTTATATATATTTATTAAATTTTTATATTATTTTCATTATATATATATTTAATGTATGAATAAACAATAAAAAAGGCAATAAAATGTAGTTTATATTTAATTTATATTTTTAGACTTATTATTTCAATTAAAATGTAAAATACATTACTGTATATACTGTATATAAAACTTGTGGTTAATTAATACAACATTATATTTGTATACTGTTTATTGAATAAACATATATTTTTTTATATAATACAAATATTTTTTTAATTATCATTGATCAATAAAATAAGTTTTTTATTTTCAAAAATGTTTTATTATATTTTTTGTCTGCTTGTTTGTTAATTTAAAACTGTTTTAAGTGCCAACAAAAAAAAAGTATATTGTTTAATGATTGAAATATATTTATTTATTTTTTTGTACAATTGGTGACAATAGTACTGTTAGCTCAGGGATGCAGGATATCTATGATATAAAAACAACTAAATTATATTACTAACCAAAATTTTTAAAAAACAATCAATAAAAACTGTATAAATATAAGCTGATTATAAACAGTATTGTATTTTTTATTCAAAAATATATATAATACTATTTCTATTATATTATATTATTTTATCTGTTATAACTTATAACAAAAAAAATATTTTTTTATAGTTTATAATTTTTTAACAGATAATATAAAAAAAATTTTATAATACCATTGAAACATTTTAGTTAATATTATTAAATACAGGACGTATAGTAATTCCATAGTTGTGTAAAAACTATAAACCATAGAAACAACAAACACTGTATTTGATGCCCACTTTAGCCCTCCATCGGATACTATGGAGGGGACGGTCATCGGTGGCCAACCCTAACGCGTGGAAACAATTTTTTGTGGAGACAATACTATTACTGAATTGCGTTACTATTATCACACTTTACAAGTAATGGCTTTTATAATAATAACAACTAAACTAAATTATGAATATTTATACTATATATTATATATATATAATGTGTATATACTGTATATGGTGTATATATTTATATAATTTTAATTTTATCAATAAAACCAGAAAATAACATTAAAGGTCATAATTTTAGTACTAGAAGTTAAAGTTTTTTTTTAAGATTTAAGTGTTAGTTAGCATACAATCATCAGTTAGTAAAAGTTTACATTTTTATATTAATTATCTGTATTTATAAAAAAAATTACGGCAATTAAAATTGTATATTATATGATATACCAGTATTTTGTTTTTTTTGTTTATTGAATTTAATATTTTTAAACATCACTATTATTTATTATATTTGTATCGGATATTTGATACAATACTGTACAATATATATATATGCAAAATGATTTTAATTGATAATAATGTATTTTACTTTAGATTTTTAGCTTAATTAAATTTTTAAATATACAGTAGTACAAAAATTAATTAAACTAAAATTTAAAGTAAAACACATTATTAGTAATTAAAATTATTTTTGCATATATATATATTAAAGTATAGAGCATTGATAATACAAAATATTTTTTTTATAATAAATTAATTTTATCTAAAAATAGTTGAATATAATGTGTAGTAATTAAAACAATAATTAAAATTAAAAAATTATTATTATTATTATAACTAAATCAAATAATACCGGCATCCGTGGCCAGTGAATAAAAAATTGACGATTTGTTTGCCAGCAAAACATCGGGTTCGGCAAACTCGGCTACCCGTCCGTTGTTGAGTACTAATACCCGATTGGAGTCCATAATTGTATTGATTCGATGGGCAATCGTCAGGACAGTGGATGAGCTAAACTCTTGGCGTATGGTTTGCTGTATGAGTGAATCGGTTTCGACGTCGACGGCAGCCGTGGCCTCGTCGAGGATAAGCACACGTGTATTGCGTAACAGAGCCCGACCAAGACATATGAGCTGTCGTTGGCCAACACTTAGATTATCGCCCGATTCGGCTACCGGCCAGTCGAGTCCCCGATCGCCGGCGGCAACAAACTCTTTCAGATGCGACTGATCTAATACTGTCCACAAACGATCGTCGGTAAACTGGCCAAACGGATCCAAATTTGAACGAATTGTACCCGAATATAGTATCGGTTCCTGAGGTATGATTGTTAGCCGTGAACGCAGATCGTGTAGACCTAATCGTCCGATATCTATACCGTCGATGACTATCCGTCCCATTGCTGGCTCAATGAGCCTAAACAAGGCTAACGTTAGCGACGACTTTCCAGCACCGGTTCGGCCAACAATACCTATCTGTTAGCCAAACAAACAAAACAAAATCATAGATAAATTCATTTTAATATTTAATATATTATACTATAGTTTCTATTATTATTATTTTAATAAATTTATTTAAGTAATAATAGTAATACTTTAAGTAAAATTTTATTTATTTATTTAGCTAATTAACTATAATTTATTATTATTTTGTTGTATTTTATATAACTGTTTATTTTTTTAAAGAAAAAACTTACAAAAATCTATTTTTGTTAAATAATTTTTAATTACTTATATGTTTTTTGTTTGTGATTAAACGGTAGCTAAAAAAAACTTTATATTATTTATTTTTCTAAACTTTATATTATTTATATCATATATCATATCATATCATATATATAAAGCTTTTATAAATATTTTTTTTTTTAAATCAGTCAAACCTTTTCGCCCGGTTTAATATCGACATCAATGTCATTGAGAACCAAATCCAATCCAACCATATATCTGGTACCGTAACTCTCAAACCTAACGGCTCCCCTGTCGGGCCAGTTATCAGGTAACGGGTGGTCATCCGTATCATCACATCGATGCCAATCGGATTCAGTTTCCAGTCTACAGTATTCATCTAAACGCTCGACTGAAACCATATTGTTTTCTAACTGAGCAAACGTTTTGATAAACAATCCCAAATAGACTGTCAAAGCCATTGCATAGGATAAGGATAGTCCTATGTCGCCACCGGTTAGCCTACCCTTACCCAGTACGGCAAACAGGGCGGCAAAAAATAGTAGACAATTGCTCAGCGATGTCAACCAAATTTGTAGCCAACTGTTTGCTACGACATTAGGATAGAGACACATCTGATTGATGTCTACTAGTCTATCGGATTCCCGTATAAACCGATCGGTACAGCCGTAGGCCCTGATGCTGGACACACCGGCCAATGTTTGGCCAAAATTGGAGTATATTGGCGATCGGGTGGTCGACTCTAAACTGTATAACAATTATTTTGTTTGTTGTTATATACAGTATATATAATAATAATTATATATATATTATAATACCGTTTTAGTTGTCGTGAAGTTTTAATGTAAATAAACTATTTTTTAAAATAAAAGTTAAACAATTTTTTTTAGATAAATTTAAAAAATAATAATAATCTAACCTGGACTATATAGTAAATAACAGCTACCAGTGCCAGTGGTGCCAAAAACAATGGTGTCTTTATCGATATGGTTATTATCATACCAATCAATTGTAATAAAGTATCTGTAGTTAAACTTTTTTATAATAATTAAATAATTAATTAATTAAAATTAGTTATTTTTATGTCTATATAGATATAGATATATAAAAAAGGATAACTTATTATTTGTTTAAACAAAAATTATTTAAAACACATAATATCATACATAAAAGAAATAATTAATAAACATAAAAATAAAATATATATTTTTGTAAAAATTTTTAATAATAATAAATAATAATTCATAATTACTTGATAGTAAAAAATAGCGATCGATCCAATACATCGGTATCGCTACCAAAACGGTTCATCAAACGGCCAATTGGTGTCCTATCAAAGTAGTTCATCGGTGCGTGCATTACACTCGTCAACAATTGCCGATGTAGTCGGGTTGAGGCCCGTCGGATACCGTAGACTAGAAACAAACGGCTGGCCAATGATGTAATAATATTACCGCCAATGAATGAGCTAAAAATGGCCAAATAATAGTAGTGGGTAGAGATTCCTGAGCCCGATGATGATGATGATGATGGTTGGCTAATATGGTTGCTATATATGGACAACCAAAACGATGATCCATACACTAAGGCATTGTAAGCGATTAGTGTCGATAGGAAACCCAGTGAACAATACGGTCCAAAATATTTAGCATATTTCATATATAACTGAGATTTTATTATTATTTTTAATTTTTTTTAATATAAATAAATAAATATATAAATAATTTTTATTATATTATAAAATTAAAATATTGTATATATTTTTATATATAATTTTATTTAGTGTCATTGCTTTTACATTATTTGTATGAAATTTTATTTATATATTTTTTATAATTATATACAGTATACTGTACTCTCTCTCTCTCTCTCTCTCTCTATATATATATATATATATATATATAAATGTACCGGTATATATAGTACAGTATATACACTGTATACTATACAGTATATAATTTTATTAAAATTTATTTTTAAAAAATATAACTAAAATTTCATATAAATTATGTAAAAGCAATAACACTAAATAAAATTATGTATATTTATATATATGTAAATATACTGTAAATATATATATATAAATTAAATAATTAATCTAGATATTATAATTGTTATGTATTGGGTACATACATTAAATTTAACTTGGCCAATTTCTACCGTTTCCTCATTAGTCAATGTTTTTGGTTTATTTTTGTCGGGTTTTAATACAATAGTATCAATTGAATCAATATTATTACTATTATTATTATTATCACTATTATTATTATCATCACTATTACTATTATCTGGATTTTTATCACTACTACTATCAGCTAAATATTGTTGTATTAAATCGGAAAAATAATTATCATTTTCTAATAGATAATCATAAGTACCGATACTATTAATTATACCGTCTTTTAGTACAACAATCAGATCGACATCGGGTAATACAAACAATTGATTTGTTATCAATAAACGGGTTTTATTGCCGATAATACCGGTTCTCGAGTCGAGTACTTTTCTAGCAATATGTTTGCCCACATGACTGTCCACTTAAATAAAAAAAAATAAAACAAAATTTTAATTGATTTAAATGATATATAAATATATATATATATTATTAACTAAATACCGGCAGACAATGGATCGTCGAGTAGGTATAGATCGGCACCTGAATAGACAGCTCGGGCTAAACTGACTCTTTGTTTTTGACCACCGCTCAGATTAACACCTTTTTCGCCGATCACTGTCTCATCACTATCGGACAGCTGTAGTAAGTCCTGCCTGAGTGCACACGTGTCCAGAACCCGATCGTACAGTTCCCGGACCATTGGTCTACCAAACAGTATATTATCTTTGACCGTACTGTTCAGGATCCAGGCCTGTTGCGGAACATAGCCGACAGTAATACCCGATCTAATGTTGACCCTACCATTAACACCATCACTACCTACCAGATCCATATCGCCAAACAGGGCCGACATTAGTGAACTTTTACCCGATCCGACACTGCCTACTATAGCCACAAATTGGCCGTCAATTACTTTGAGATTAATATTTTGTAAAATTGGTTTTGTATTAATTGAATCCGATTCCCAATTAAACGATGCATTTTCAACATTAATTATATAATTATTGTTTGATATATTGTTTTCATTGATATAATTCAATTGTTCATCACTATTGAGAAATTGTTGAATACGTTTGAATGATACGTAAATCTGAAATTATTATTATTATTATTATTATTATTATTATTATTATTATTGAAATATTGGTATTCAAAAAAATAATTTTTTTTGTAATTAAATACATAAATAATATTTGTTTTTAAATATTACTATTATCCTGAAACAAATTAAACTATTTTAAACAAAATAATTACTAAACTGATTATTAATTAGATTAGTAATTAACAAATAAAATAATAATAAAATAAAAAAAATATAACTTAAAATTATAGTGTAATACCAATGTAATTGCATTGAACGCTGTTGGCAAGGTAAACATTATCTCCTTGATCAAATTGAATAATGCTAGCGATACAAATATTTTCGATGCATCTATTTGATGGTCACCCTGGTTTTGGTTGATGGCCACATACGTACAATACGTAATCAATTGGGCAATAAATGGACTGGTTAAACTTAATACAATATAACCGGTAATCGATTGGCCAAATGTAACAAATTTTTTCAACTCTTTAGTCCTAATTTTTTCAACTAAACCCATAAACGCCTCCTCCCAGGCATACAACTGGAGGTGTATTTAAAAAAAAATTTATTGAAAAAATAAATAAATAAAATATAAATTATTATAAAAAATAATTAGAATATATATAGGCGTTGTTCACATATTACGTTCGCTCTTTTTAAGAAATCTAGACCCCCTCCCTCCCCTATGTTCGCAATTTTAATTTTAAATATAAAAATAATAATTTAAAAAATTACGTTCGTATGTCCCTAACCGCTACCCCCCCCCACATCACAAGAAATAAAATATCTAAATGCGAACGTTCTTAAAGTCTCTACCCCTTCCCTCCCCCCTCGTTCGCAAAAGTTCGGGGGGGGGGGGGGGGGGGGGGGGGGGGGGGGGGGGGGGGGGGGGGGGGGGGGGGGGGGGGGGGGGGGGGGGGGGGGGGGGGGGGGGGGGGGGGGGGGGGGGGGGGGGGGGGGGGGGGGGGGGGGGGGGGGGGGGGGGGGGGGGGGGGGGGGGGGGGGGGGGGGGGGGGGGGGGGGGGGGGGGGGGGGGGGGGGGGGGGGGGGGGGGGGGGGGGGGGGGGGGGGGGGGGGGGGGGGGGGGGGGGGGGGGGGGGGGGGGGGGGGGGGGGGGGGGGGGGGGGGGGGGGGGGGGGGGGGGGGGGGGGGGGGGGGGGGGGGGGGGGGGGGGCTTTGGCTAACCCCCCACCATCCCCTCAAGTGCGAGCGTAATATGTGAACCACGCCATATTAAATTTTAAATACTTTTAAAACTTTAATTCCGTTAAGTATTTCGTTCATCAAGTTTTGACGTTTGTCTTTGATTGACATCAATTGATTAGTCAATAGTACAGTATATAAACCGATTAAAACATTGATGATAATCGTTATAAACAAATAGGACAGACCGGCAAATGCGGCCAAACCTAACTGTAGGTATAGAAGATAGACGGCTAGTATTAGTTGAACCGGATTTGATATTATTGTAATCAGATTAGCGGATTGTTCTACAAATATAATATTGATATATGAAAAAAAATTAAAATTACTATAAGATTCAATAGAAACTAAAAACTATAACCAAAAAAATTACAATAAGAGAGAGAAAGAGAGAGAGAGAGAGAGAGAGAGAGAGAGAGAGAGAAATTTTTTTATACATAAACTTCAACTAATAAAATATGAAGTGTAACCGGGAATCGAACCCACAGTTTCATGAGAACTTATACACAAACATATAAACTGTATAAACTAATACTACATTTATTATGATATTTTATATATAAATTACCGCTAATTCGTTGGCAATCAATGGCCATAATGTTGACTATTTCGCCGGTAGGTGTGCGCCGTTTTGAGCCATTGCTCAACACTAGCGACTTGCGATAGACGGCTGATGTTAGACACGATTTAATACATAAACCTAATTGAAATAAACAAAACAAAAAATAAATTTTCAAAAAAAAATCTGAAATTTTCATTATTATTATTATTATTATTATTATTATTATTATTATTATTATTATTATTATTATTTTACATGTAACACCAATATATTCGCTAGACATTGCCTGGACAATACTGGCAATAACATTGATGGCCAACAATAGTACTGTATAGACATAGCCGTGCCATTGGGGAGCACCGGGATCTTCAATAAACTTAATCATTAAGCTGTAAATAATAGAAGGAAAAAAATTTAATATTTGCATAAAATGAAAATACATATAATGTTTATATACGGTATATCATTGAGAAAAACTACTTTTTTAATAAGTCTAATATATTAATATATATGAAAAAAACAATTAAATTAAATTGAATAAAAATTTTAAATTAAAAATATATTTTTTTTTTTAAAAACAGGGGGAAAACATACTTTAAAATAATAGGCGATACCATTTGCAAACAATATGATAGTATACAAAATAGTAGTGACCAAACAATTTTTGGCAAATAAAGTTTAGTAATAATGGCAAACAAATTTCTATTATTAACTTTATTATTATTATTAATATTATTATCACTATTGTTAATGTTTTTTATGTGTTTAGCCGATGATGATGATGATGATGATAATGCCGGTGACCATTGTTTCAAAAAACGCCTATAGTTATATAGGGTACTGTCCTCCCGGCGCAGTGCCCATAGATCGTCAAATACCAGTGACTTGTTTAGCCAACCTTTTATTAGTAGCCAATTAACCCATTGGTAGGTTATGCGCGATGCATAGGATGCACCCGATTTGGGACAAACAGTGTGTCGTTGTTTGGTACATATGTCGGGATCAATAGTGTCGGTAGTGTCGGTATTATTAGTATTGTTTTGCGGCAATTGGTCGGCAATTGTACAATAGATTAATAGACAGACAGTTAGCCCAAAATTAATACAATAGAGTATGAATTCATAGTTTTCTAGTAAATTATTAGTGGCATTGATAGCCAGTGATAGACCACCTAAAACAGTGTCCAGTAATAGGTATAACCAAATCCAGCCACTGGTAGTTATGCCGGATAATCGTTGAATGATAAACACTAAACAAAGAGCTAGTCTTGTTATGGTTTGTATGGCGACGGCTATGATGTAGGCATTTGAGGGACTGTCCGACCATTGATATTTGCGGCACAAACTCAACGCTAGCATTGCCAGTAGGATACCGGTGCTGGCAATGGCTATACATAGCCGACTGGTATTATATAAGTTCCATTTGATGATTACTAAATGTTTACTGATTATTAGAAAATAGTTGTACAACAGGTACGGTATGTATAGCCAAATGAACAGACAGGGAATCCAAACGAACCATGTGTTTAGCATACATGAGCTCAATGTTGGTCTGGTAGTAAACCATACAATTTGTTTATCCTATTTTTTTTAAAAAAATAAATATATATAATAAATGTAGCATACTAGCTTAATTAGTTATTTAAAAAAAAAGTTTTATTTTACTATTTTATTATTATTATTTTATACTTACCAATAGTTTATCATTACATATATTTTCAAACATTTTTTTGTTGGAAATTACAAAAATAAATACAAATTTGTTAAAAATAAATTTTATTTTTAATAAAAATATATTTCATTATTATCTTAATATCTTGATAATATTATATTTACAGTAAATCGAAATAATAATATTATTTTTACAGTAAGTAAAAATAATATTATTATTAATAAAATTTGAATTTTATTACAATGAAAAAGCATAATATCTGGAAAGAGTCTTAAACAGCGGCGGCGGCGGCGGCGATGACTACGCAATTAATTGCAATTATCTGCTAAACAATATGTTGGATTTATAAATTGATCAAGGGCAATAGTTGTAGATATTTTTAAACAAAATAAGATTGCTATTGGTCATTTTATAAAAAGAAAATTAATTGTATGATTTTGCCAAATAAATTGCAGTCAACTATCAATTTTTTTACCAATTTTTTAAAAAAAGTCGACTATATTATCTGGACAAACATAAAATTATTTATTTTTTTTAAATATGACCAATTACAATCTTATTTAGTTTAAAATTATAACTACAAATTTTCTATTGGTCACTATTAAAAAATCTAATGTATTGTTTGCAATTTTTAATTAATAACTTCATCATCGCCGCCGCCGCCGCCGCCGCCGCCGCTGTTTAAGACTCTCTCTCTAATATCTAAAACTTTTTAATGACATTGATTTATAATAGCAATTAATTGAAATTACTGTTACTTCTATAATAGAAAAATAATATTTAATATAATATAGTATTGTAAAAATAATTTATCTTTTAATATAAACATATAATTTTTTTGTATTATCCTGAAAATAACAAATTAAAATATAACTTAATATTTTTTCTAATATTTATAATATAATATATATATATATATATACAATAAGCATGCGTGAAAAATCTACAAATAAAATTTATGTAAAGTTTTTTAAAACAATAAATGTTTTTTTTAAAAATAAATATTTATACAACATACAATAATTAATTTACATTGAAATCGTAATTATTTTTTGTTTTTTTGAAAAATTATTTAATTATTTATTAAATAATAATGCTATACTAAAAAATATCAATTATAAATAATATTTTAAAATAAAACTACAACAACAACAAAATAAGTTAACATAACTATTATATTATATAAATTAGATTTTATATAAAATTTTCAATTACTTTAACTGTTATATCTTTTTAAATATTTTATTATTTAATAATTGTTTAGTGATTGTGATATAACACTATATTTTGTTTATTATTTTTTTTGTGCATAATTTTTTTTTTGGTAATTTTATATAACGAATAGCAATAAAAGTTTTTATATTATATATTAAAATGTTTTTATTAGTATTTTATTAGTATTTTATTTATGTCTTATAAATTCAATTATTTTATGATTATTTATTAACTATTTATAAGTTAGTTGACATCAAGTTATGCAATTGTAAGGCACTGTATATACAATATATATATATTTAAAAAGTATTTTATTATTGAATTTTCAACTAAAATATTACTTTAAAAAAATGTTTACTTAAAAAAATAAATGTATATATCACTTAATGTTATCCTATATGTATTTATTTGCATAAAATTTTCCAGTAGTAAAAATTTTTGAGATACTAATTTATACAACAACAAAAAAATCTCTAAAATATATTGTTAGTAATATTTTTTTTAATTGACATACAGTATACTTACTTTAATTTATTTTATTTTTTATTTTTTTGAAAAACCAAATAATCATCACAATTATTAGTCAAATAACAACTATGAAGTAATGTAAGCTTTTATGTTATAGCTATTTAATTAATAAAAATATAATATTGACAATGCACATTTTTTTATTTAATAATTTAATATAATAAATTTAATTTGTTTTTTTAATAAAATATTTATATTAAAACTTTTTTCTTGTAGTAAACTTAAAATTTTATTTTATATATTGAATATATAAATTGAAAAACAACATTTTATATTGAATTTTTTAAATATATATTGTATTTAAATATATCATTAGTTAATTGTTGTTTGTTTATATATATATTTAAATATTTTATATATTATAGTTTAATTATTTTGTATAAATTTTGTTGTTAAAAAAATATGTTACAATTTCTATATAATTTTGTATCAAATCCGTTAACAATTGTTATAATATGCAGTTTGTATGCAATTTACAGGTTAGTTAAAAAACAAAAAAAGTAAAGTTAAAAAGTTAAAAATCTTAATATTTTAATAAGTTTATTTTTTTATGTTTTTTTTAATATTATATATTTATTTTTACCTAATTTATTTTTAGTGTTATATATAATATTATTGTATTAGTTGTTAATTAATAAATTGATCATAGTCATTATTTATTACATTAACAACTAATACACAGTTATACAATTACTGTATATAATATAATATAATAAAAACATATAAATTGCAATATTTTATCAAATAAGTTAAATTGAGTTTTTTTAAATAAATAAAATTTATATATTAATATATTATAATTATTAAGTGTTAAAATCCAATAGAAATGTTTTAGTTTTTACAAATATTTTTGTATATAATTTTAATAACTGTTTAATTATTATTTATATTAATTAGTAATTTTGCAATTTAAATTTTTTTTAAATGCAATATAAATTCATTATTAAATTGATTAATATAGTATAGTTTGTATGTTAAATTTTTTTAAAAATCTATTTTAATTTTAACTGTAATTATTAATTTTACAAAAAAATTATGTTACAATTCATATATACTATTTATTATATATATATATATATATACTACTAGTATATATATATTTGTATACAATTTACAGGTTTTTTATAAATATAATTATTATTACATATTTTATTTATTTCGATATTTTTGGTTTTATTTTATTAACTCACAGATACTATGTCTCAAAATATACGTATTGGGAGAGACAGGGAGTCCGGTCAGCGCCGTTCGGTTATTGGCCCCGACTGTATAAACCATGGTTTAAAGTGGAACAGGAAATGTACGGCCGGTACGGCAAATGTTTCGGTGTCTATGAATCTACCCGTCCTGTACTATATCTGTCCGATCCGGACCTGATTCGCAATGTTTTAGTCAAAGATTTTCATAATTTTACTAATAGACGGGTAAATAATTAATAAATAAACTTATTTTTTATTTTATTAGAAAATAATTTTATTTAAGTTAATTAAAAAATATATTATTATTTTGTTATTTATTGCATGCATTTTTTTTAAAAAAAATATATATAAATTACATTTATTTACGAGTATAATTGAGTGAAAAATAATAATATAATATAATTATTATTTTTTTATTCACAACAAAAAACTATTCATTTATATTATTATATTTATAATAAATCCTAATTTAATTAATTTTTAGTATTTAATATAATGACTATAAAAATATAGATATTCAGCAACAAAAAAAACAATAGTTAATTAGTAAATATGATATAGTTAAGTATATTTTATTTATTTAATTTATTTAATTTAAGAAAATAATTAATCAAAAGTAATTTATTAAAAAAAATTTTATAATTTTTTTTTTCGAATATATTTTTAATATATATATTAATAATTTTATTATTATTATTATTATTATTATTTGTAGGACATATCGACCGGTTTATTAATGGACAAAATGTTACCGAATTTGAAAAATGAAAACTGGAAACGTGTCCGTACGGTCATAACGCCTACGTTTACATTGGGAAAGTTACGCAAAATGTTGCCACTGATTGGCGACTGTCTGAAAACATTGGACCATAATTTAGATATCGCTAGCAAAACATCCAGTGCTGATGGCTATGACATGAAACGGCTATTTTGTTCATACGTTATGGAAGTCATACTACAGGTAATTGTACTGTTGTTGTTGTTGTTGTTGACAGGTTTTTACGAAAATAAATGCCTGCCCCCTGGCAATACCCAAATAGATGTCATAAATGCCTGGTATTTTTAGGCATCTATTGTTTATGCCTGTCATTTTAAAAACCCTGTTTATGACATCCAATCCAATAATTACTTTGAATTTTTTTTAGTGATTAAATAGTAATATTTTTTTTAATAGATTTTTTATTGTTTATTTAAAAAAAATCAATTAAGTGTTATTGTTGTAAAACTTGCATATAATAAGTAGTAGTAGTAGTAGTAGTAGTAGTAGTAGTAGTAGTAGTAGTAGTAGTAGTAGTAGTAGTAGTAGTAGTAGTAGTAGTAGTAGTAGTAGTAGTAGTAGTAGTAGTAGTAGTAGTAGTAGTAGTAGTAGTAGTAGTAGTAGTAGTAGTAGTAGTAGTAGTAGTAGTAGTAGTAGTAGTAGTAGTAGTAGTAGTAGTAGTAGTAGTAGTAGTAGTAGTAGTAGTAGTAGTAGTAGTAGTAGTAGTAGTAGTAGTAGTAGTAGTAGTAGTAGTAGTAGTAGTAGTAGTAGTAGTAGTAGTAGTAGTAGTAGTAGTAGTAGTAGTAGTAGTAGTAGTAGTAGTAGTAGTAGTAGTAGTAGTAGTAGTAGTAGTAGTAGTAATGTGTTTTTTCCTTTTAAAAAAAATTATTTTTAAAAATAACAAACATAATCTAGCTACTTTAGTTTTAGTTTATCTATTGTAATTTTTATTTTATGTATTATTAATTATTATTATTATTATTGTTATTCATACATAGGTAGCTTTTGGCATTAAAGTCGACGCCTTGATGGACGCCGACAATCCAATTATAATCAATGCCTGCAAACTGTTAAGCCATGAATTTGGTCCCATGTTATACATACTGATGTTTGTCCCCCGATTGGCCCACTATTTGAAACTATCGGTTTTCGATGTCCAAGTCATACAATTTTTTCACGAACTATCCCTTAAAGCTATAGACGATAGACGAAAATTGTTGGCCAAAAATCCCGATACAAAACGTGTAGACTTATTGCAGCTAATGTTAGACTGTTTCGATGAAAGTAATGTTAGAAGTAGTAGTAGTAGTAGTAGTGATGGACCCGAGTTCGCGACCGCTGATAGTAATGATGATAATAAAGACGCGGAAAAATATAGAGAGTATAGTAGTAGTAGTGGTAATGATAATAATAATAATAATAACCAAACGGATAGTTTTAAAAAATGTTTGTATTATTTATTCAAACAACAAAAAACTTAATTATTATTATATATATTTAGTAATTATTATATATATTTTTTATTATTAATTATTATATATTTTTTATAAATAATTATTATATATTTTTTATTAATAATTATTATATATGTTTTATTATTAATTATTATATATTATATATTATATATTATATATTATATATTATATATTATATATTATATATTATATATTATATATTATATATTATATATTATATATTATATATTTTATTATTATTAATTATTATATCATTTTTTATTATTAATTATTATTATTTATTTTTTTTGTACTAATTATTAAATATTTTTTTATTTGAAATTAAACAGATCTGACAAACGATGAACTAATAGCTTCGTGTGTTGTGTTTTTTGTGGCCGGTTTTGAAAATATCATAACAGTCTTATCAAATATAACACATTTGTTGGCCTCAAATCCCGATTGTCAACAACGACTGTACGATGAAGTGGCCAACTATTTCATGGGCGAACATCACCAATCGGACGTACGGTTTTTTTTGCTGGTTATATATATATAATAAATATAGTGTCTAAAAAAGCTATATAAGCGCACTATTTTTGTATATCTGTTTTTTATATTTATATTATAATATATGTTATCTATGATAATATTTTTTTTTAAAGGAATCGGTAGACGATTACGAAACACTACAATCACTAAAATATTTGGACGGAGTTGTTAAGGAAACACTACGTTTGTATCCAAACACAATAGCAGTGGAACGGGAGGCTAATGAAGATTATGAGTTGGGCGGAGGAGGACCCGACACCACTGGTATAACCATTAAAAAAGGTCAACTAATACACATTCAATCCTATTCAATGCATCACGATTCGGACAACTATCCCGATCCCGAACGGTTTAGACCCGAAAGATTCTTACCCGAAAACCAGACACACCATCCCTATGCTTATCTGCCGTTTGGTGGCGGACCCCGAAAATGTATTGGTTTTAAATTGGCCGAGATGATTATCAAAAAGGCACTGGTCAATGCTGTACATAAATTTAGTTTTCATGATACAGGGGTAGGTGTAGCTGACATACACATACACATACACATACACATACACATACACATACACATACACATACACATACACATACACATACACATACACATACACATACACATACACATACACATACACATACACATACACACACACACACACATACACATACACATACACATACACATACACATACACATACACATACACATACACATACACATACACATACACATACACATACACATACACATACACATACACATACACATACACATACACATACACATACACATACACATACACATAATAACTTATATTTTGATATTTAATATTTGTTTTTTATTTGTTTATCAGAAACCCCTAGAGTTTCACAAATATCAAGTATTTGGTATAATGACACCGAAAGATGTTTTTGTTAGGGTTGAGAAACGCCAGTAAAATAACTAAAATTATCTAAACTATTGCAAAAATATAATTATTAATTATTGCATTTTAATAGTAACAGATTTAAATTTAATTTTATATAAAATAATAATAATTTTAATATAACATACAGTAGTAAAACAATATTTAATATTGTATTAAAAACATTATCAAAATTATAAAATAATTTCATTATAAAAGTATTAATTTAAAAAAAAAATAATTATATGTAATAAAATATAATTAATAAATTATCTTAAAATAAAGTAAATCTCCCCAAATGTATTGCAGATATTTTTAAATATATTAAATAGTTTTATAATTAAAAAATAATAAATAAAAAGTTATATTATAATCAAGATATATTATTAACAACTATTATTGATTGCCGATTAAAAATTCAATAATAAATTTATTGATAATATTGTAACTTAATTATACATAAATAAAAAATTATTTACTAATAAAATATATATATGTTTATTTTAATTTATAAATTATTGTAAACTATTATTATTTCACTATTTATTTATAACAAAACTATTTTAGGTTTAATTCTATTCAAGAAAAAAGTTATACCTCAAAAAAAACAGGTCACACCTATTTTGTGACTGATTTTTTTATTTCAATATTTTAAGAGTTAAAATATATTAAAAGTTTATTATATATTGATTTTCTATTAGTTTCACTAAATAATAGAATAATTGATTTTAAATTATATAATCTAAATTTATTTACTAATTAATAAAAATATATTGTTTATAATTTATTTATATATATATATATATATATATATATATATATATATATATATATATATATATATATATTTATTTATTTATTTATTTATTTATTTAAATATATATATATACAGTATATATATAAAGTTATATTTTATTTATTTATAAAACAATTTAGTTTTTATTTAGTTATTGCTTATTATTAGAAGCTATTACACGTAAAGTGTGATAATAGTAACGCAATTCAGTAATAGTATTGTCGGCCAAAAATTGTTTCCACGCGTTAGGGTTGGCCACCGATGCCGTCCCCGTACTGTCCGACGGAGGGCTAAAGTGGGCGTCAAATACAGTGTCCCACAAATGTTCGGCCTTTTCTTCATCAAACTGTTTTCGATCCTTGAAATTGATTGAAAAATCTCCAACAATTACTGGCATAAAATCTATGATAATTTTTATAAAAAAATAATATAAATAATGATTTTAATTAAAATAAATTAATTTATGTTATTATTATAATAACAAACACTAGAAACTAACCGATAATCTGTTTGCGAGTCATTATTAACATTAATTTAATTAAAATATTAATAAATAACAAAAACGTTTGCCATTTGAAAGGACTTATAAAATAGTATAATATATATATCGGTTCCTCCATTTTGGATAACCAATTGAGCTGAAAGACAAACCGGACAGTTATGAAAAATTATTATTATTATTATATATATATATATTTATTTTGTATACGACTGGTTGTTATTAGTGTTTATTTTATAATATAAAATATATAAAATATAAAAAAAATTTTATAATAATTATAATAAAAAAAAATATTAAAGTTTTATTCATTTATAAAGTAATATAATTATATACTGTATATTTTTTTTAATAATCTATTAATTTAAAAACAAAACAAAAAACAAAATTATTATAAACATTATTATATTATAACTATTATAAAAAAAGAAAAAAGTTTTATTATATTTATTTTCAATTAATTTACAGTAAATAATAGTATCATATAATTGATTATTGAAATTATCTAATCTAAACTAATTTACTATTTTAATAAAAAAATAAATATTCTTTATAATTTATATATAAATACTGTAAATATTAATTATTATTTATTTATAGTTTAGTTTAGTTAATGCTTATTATTATAAGCTATTACTCGTAAAGTGTGATAATAGTAACGCAATTCAGTAATAGTATTGTCGGCCAAAAATTTTTTCCACGCGTTAGGGTTGGCCACCGATGCCGTCCCCGTACTGTCCGACGGAGGGCTAAAGTGGGCGTCAAATACAGTGTCCCACAAATGTTCGGCCTTTTCTTCATCAAACTGTTTTCGATCCTTGAAATTGATTGAAAAATCTCCAACAATTACTGGCATAAAATCTATGATAATTTATATAAAAAAAAATAATATAAATAATAATTTTAATTAAAATTTATGTTATTATTATTATAACAAACACTAGAAACTAACCGATAATCTGTTTGCGAGTCATTAAATAATTTTTAGCAAATAAATTGAATTGTTTTATAACAAATCCGTTAACTATTAAACTCTGTTTCCAATTATTCATCTGTTTGTCAATCGATGGATACCACAGTTGTTGTTGTAGTTGTTTATCAACTCTACTATTGTTATTATCGACAAGTTTTCTGTTCAAATCAGCTGTAATAACAATATTTGCATAAAACAGTCCACCGCTGGTCAACAACTTTGACAATATATCCATTACCTGACACTTATCGGGTATAAAGTGTAACATAAAACTAGTGAACAGTAGATCCACTTTGGACTCCAATTGTCTGATCCGTGGACTCAACTCAAGCCACGAAACAGTCATGTCTTGCAATGCATACTCAATGGTAGTGTCGTCTGCATTGTTAGCCATAGCGTGTGTTAACATTTCCGGTACGACATCGATGGCCACCACTTGTTTGTGCTGTACGTGTTTGGACAGCATTCGGGTAACTCTGCCGTCACCGAAGCCCAGGTCAACAATCAGATTGTATGAACTAATATAAAATAAATTATTATTTTTTATTTTCTCTCTCTTTCTTTCTCTCTTTATATTTAAAAACAAATTTAATACTTATTTTCTTTATTAATCAATTCAAACGCCTCTAATAGATAATCATCCACTTTATAGGTCAATGTAACGTAATCTTCGGGTTTTATTTGATTCATTGTTTTTCGTTGTTGTTGTTGTAAAATATAAATTTTTATTTTAAAAAAAAATTTAAGATTATATAAGATTAAAATATTTTAGAATAAAATTATAATTTCAAATTTATAATGAAATAATTTATAATTAAAAAAATTATTATAATAAATATTATAATTTTTATTATAAAAATCACTTAAAATAATTTTAATAAAAAGAAATATTTTAGTAATATTTATTTTTTTATATATATTCAACTTTTATACATTTCATATTTTTTTTAATTGGCAATGAAAATATTTAATTATTATTTTTTAAGTTTGTGCGTGTTCATATTTTATTTAATAAATAATAGATTAAATTATAAAAATTTTTAGGAAAATTTTAATGTATAATAATTAAACTATGAATTTGTTAAAAAAATAATATTAATTAATTCTGTTTAGTTTGACGTAAACTATTAATTATATTTAACTATAAAAATATTTATTATTAATTAGACATTATTATACATTTTAAATATTTAATGATTTTAGTAAAAAATACATGAATTTAACTATTTAACTAAATAATGAAATATTTTTTTTAATCTTATAATATATATTATAATTTTTATTATAAAAATCACTTAAAATAATTTTAATAAAAAGAAATATTTTAGTAATATTTATTTTTTTTATATATTAAACTTTTATACATTTCATAAATTTTTTTTAATTAGTAATGAAAATATTTAATTATTATTTTTTAAGTTTGTGCGTGCTCATATTTTGTTATAATAAATAATAGATTAGATTATAGAGAATTTTTAGGAAAATTTTAATGATATTTAAAAACAATATAATAAATTAAACTATTGATATGTAAACAAAATTATTAATTAATTCACTTTAGTTTGACGTAAACTATTAATTATATTTACTATAAAAATATTTATTTATTTTTTAAAAATCTACAAATAATATAATAATAATTCAAAATTTAAAGATTTTATTAATTAATTTAATTAATTTTTTTTCAATTATTCTAATTATCTAATTAAGTAAAGCAATATTATATATATATATATATATTATTTAGTTGTATGCTATATATTAGATAAAATAAGTTAGAATACAATATAAACCAGTTGAGAATGCTAGAAAGCATTTCCATACGAATTCCTTGAATTGGATTTTATTAATTTATTATTACTAATAGTAAGAATTGACAATATGAATATTAAAAAATTTTATTTTAAATTATTAATCAATAAAAATTTACAAATATAAATAATTTATTATATACTATATTTACTTAATTCAAAAAATACAACATTTAATAAAATATATATAATCAATTGGATATGTCAATGAAATCAAAATCAATATTTTGACAATTATTACAAATAAAATTTTCAGGTATTACTGAAAGAGTTATATCTAAACATTTTTGATGATACTTTTCACCGCAATTTATGCATTGAATCATATTATTATCTTCTGTTTGACCGCATTGACAATGTAATGATTTTACTACTTGTGATAATAATAGCGTTTCATTAATTATTTCTGACTTTGGCAATGATGGATTTCCTGTTTCATACCATTCACGCAATCGATTTCTTAAAGCATCACTGGAATCTAAGACATTTCGTGTACTTGGGTTAATATTAGAGCAATTATACGCCATATTTATTAATGCGTATATTCCACAATCTTTAGCATTAGGCTGTTTAGTTACTTTCCAAATGCGATAATATATAAGTGGAGTAATTTCTATTTTTCTAATAAGAGCACTCACAACGCGAATTATAAAATTATTTGTAGATTTAGAATTCAATGAATCGTAGACATTACATGTAATTATATCTGATTCATATTTCACGTGTATATATATCCAATGACCACCTGGATTAATTATGTAATGCATATTTTGTCCAGAATAGCTGAAGTAATTTCGAGGTTTAAGATAATTGTATGAAGGATGAAATAAATATGACGGCTCAAAGTTCAATGCATTAGAATTTGATAATAGAGATCTTGTTATATACATTCCATTAGTAATATGTGTATCATTTAGCCATCCATTGTCTTCTAATCCTTCAAGTATTCTCTGC